ATGTGTATGTGTCATCAGCATAGCAATGATAGCGAAGGCTATGGCAACGACATTTTTTTCCGATCGGTTTAGAGTACAGGCAATATTTTCGTGGTCGTGATGCTAACGGAAGTCACTGTAGTATTCGTAATTGCATAATACACATACATACCAATGTTGAGCGAAATAAGTCAATATCTAAATATCGACAAATCAGATGCTACGGGGGTCATCTTCGATACGAGGCAGGAATAAAGAAGAAGGAGGAGAAGGAAGCAGCAGCAGCCCAACCTTCGTTTTGAGCACTTAATAACAGATCATATTTGTTCAAATTGAGGAGTTGAATTATGCGAAGTTATAGCATGATATGTTATATGACAATTCCATATTAAAGAAGTAGTTTACTTCTACTATGTCATAACATGATGAAGAGATGGAATGACGGCTACCAACATAACATACCAGTACGTATTTTCCTCCACCATCTTCTGAAGAGCTCGTCCAGCGCCTCTCTGTTCGGCGCTTAAATGATTGTTAAGATCAATATTTCGTTCCTTGTTCAGAAATTCGATACAGAATTCTGAGTCGGCAATTTTCTTTCCATTACATGAGATCCAAGGAAATTTTCCCTTGGAGCTAGATTTTCCGCTGTGGTCATTCTAAAACGTTTTAATGATATGAGATAAAAGATTACTTGACAAAATATCCTAATCAACTAACATCTATCTTTGTCATAAAGAACATGTTAAATATACTTTTTATGAATATTTTCCCTAAAAAAATCTCAATCCATATGTTTTGGGAGACATTTAAAAAAAGGTTTTGATCATTTCAACGTTGTTAACACTGACATTACTTGTGATGAGTCAGTGCATGTGCTTGGAGTTAAATTGACAAATTGATAAACACATTTTCCATACATGCAGAAATGTATCCAGGAAGCTGGTGGTTTTAAAAACAATTGGACCTTTTTTTACCGAGGGCGGTAAAGATGTTAATCAACAAGTCTTTCATTTTATCAAATTTTGACTACTGCCCTCTTTTTTTTGTAGCCACACTGCAACTAACAAAATAGAAAAGGTCAAGAGAGCCTTGCAATTTGCTTTAACTGATTATACTACTGATATCAAGCACTTCTTTTATCTAAAATGCTAAACGTATATTTACTCAAACGAATAGTATCATTTTCTCATGTTTGATAACAACCGTTCTATCTATCCCCTATCGTTGTAAGTTCACTGGGAATCAGTATGCCGGGTGTCAACAGCAATATCAGTTTACATAGTTAAAAATAAATATAATATTGTAAAAACTCACTTTGTATGGAATGTTTGCTACCCGTAGATAGGATTCAAGTTTGATTGCAAATGGCGTAAGACTTGGCGAATGTGGAGCGCGCCCTAGCTGGTAGAGCGTGACCATGGGATTCGTATCGCTTCCGCTGTGATAAAGGCAATACATAATAAATATTTAGGGTTTGATAAAACCAAGTATCTGTTATTGTTAAAGGAATCAAACTGACTGTACATATACTCAAGTAATGAACCTAGATACATTGAACCAGAGTCAGGCTAAGATACCGACGAAAGCGAATTCTAGTATCCTGGACGGAGAAGCGTTTTCAGTATCACATATGTCATTAGAGCAGTATATGTAATGGTACAACTTACAATGCACTTTCACGTCAAAGCAGTATATATTATGTTACAGCTTACAACAATTGTCGTCATATAAACTATCACAATGGGAAAGCGTAGTTCTTGCCAGACTTGAGTACCTCGTACCATCCTAGATGTATAGATTGTTCGTCTAGCTTCTTGTGAATGGCGAGCACTATATAAACTCAATGTCAGTATTGTGATAATACCAATGGATACCAACCTCGTCCTTATGTTACAGGTGAGTTTCTGTGCTGCGTCCGACATATCGACCTCTACATTCACATAGTTTACATTCCATTGAAACGTTATAATGGTATCATGTAAAGTCAAAATGTGTCGTTGTTGTATATTTTAATTAATGATAAACAGTTCAGTCTTTATAATCATTGCATCGTTAATAAACAGAATATATGTATATGGATACATCTTATCTCTGACCAGACTACGTACAAGAAATCACTAAAGGTTTTAGCCGAACCGTTACCACATTTAGCAAAGAGTACATTAAGGCCTTGTCGGTAAAGGTACCCGATGATCATCACGTGCCTTTTCAACAAAGATTGGAAGATATATCGTCGCCTGTGTCAATAATCACATCACACTTTCATGGTGTACCCCCGACCCACTTCCACGAGCGGTCGAGAATTTCACCCGACCCGAATGCTTTTTATTGTTCAAAAGCAAAATCAACATCAAACTACGGGTTATAGGTCAAATAAACGATGACCATATATTAACTATCACTGAAGTACGCCCTTGATGACAACGTTCGTACATTACCATTGGGGATATATACAGTAAATGAATTTGACGACATTGTATGTGCATAAATATATTGTTTTGCAAATACATAATAAGACGTCATCATGCTGATCATTTTCGAAATAAATAATTTACGCATAAAAATATGGTAAAATATAATACGACCATGACGACGAAGCATCAGAAGTGAGGCGACATATTATGTTTTACATTTCAAACCTAGTCACGTTGGGTGGTAAGCTTTAAAGGGTCACAATGCTTATACAATGGAGGTATATATGCACATGTTACTTTTTATGAAAATGTTTATGATATTATTGATGGGTAATCATCTTCTGATCCTAAGTCTTATTGGAAATTGATTAAAAGCTTAATTAAAACGTCTTATACTTCACAACCAATAACTTCTTTCATAGATATTATTACTTATCATATAGTTACTAGAGATGACGATAAAGTTGAATTATTGAATGACTATGTTTGTAGTATTGCGAGTAGATGACAGTAACACTGATGTTCCGATTATTGAGTCAAAAA